CTGCGTCCAGCTGAAGAATTCTGGAGCCCTACCCCAGCCTCCTTCAGCTGGGCAACTCTGTGCTTGCAGAAATGGGGGGGGGTGGGGGGAGATAGGGCAGCAGTGGCACCTAATCCCATATGCCCCCCCCATACCTCACCTCTGTTTGGGGGGGCAATCCACTCCCAGAAAGGTCCCCGTGGGGCTTGGGAATTCTGCAGGAGGCGGGGGAGGGGGAGGAGCATTTTGCAAGCTCGCAGAATTGCCCCAGGAGTAACCCTGGCCCTCCCGCTGCATCCCCGCGGGCTCCCTGTACGTCGATGAGCGACTGCAGCGCTTCCGCGTCGTCCGGCAGGGCGCCCCGAAAGCGGAGGGTCTGTTCCGCCTCCGAGAGCCCCCGTGGGGCTTGGGAATTCTGCAGGAGGCGGGGGAGGGGGAGGAGCATTTTGCAAGCTCGCAGAATTGCCCCAGGAGTAACCCTGGCCCTCCCGCTGCATCCCCGCGGGCTCCCTGTACGTCGATGAGCGACTGCAGCGCTTCCGCGTCGTCCGGCAGGGCGCCCCGAAAGCGGAGGGTCTGTTCCGCCTCCGAGAGCCACTCCAGCAGCATGTGCACGGCGGCCCGGAATTCCTCTGCCTGCAGCCACACCGAGACAAGAGTGACACCTCCCGTCAGGCGGGAATCCCTGCCCACCCTTCTGGAAGCCAGGCCCCTGGTAGGATCAGGGGAAATAAAAGAACTGCCTTTGCTCTGTTTGTACGGCGCCTAGCGCAGCGAGATCCTGCTGCGCGCCAGGGGCTTGCAAGCGCTGCAGTGACACACAAAAATAAAATTGGAGGTGCCCACGGAGTCTGTTCCCCTCCCTTTCCATTCGCTGCATTGAAAAAGTGAACTAACTTCTCTCTCAAAAACTATTTGTGCCCTCAGCTCATTTTGTTTCCTTTGGTAGTTTATTCTGTATATTAAACACTCTGTCAAAATACCACCTCGGCCCCTTTTTATCCTTCCCAGGTTTAAATGTATCTTCTTCTATTGTTCATATAGCGCTGAGCAATTTCTAATTCCCTTCAGATTTGCCCACACTGCGTGTCAAGGCCCAGTTAATCTGTGGAACTCCTTGCCAGAAGGTGTTGTGAAGACTTGGACTTTAATAGGTTCAAAAAAGAGCTAGATACATTCATTTGCCAGGATGGGCAAGGGAGGGTGCTCCTGTTTGTCAGAATCCGGGAATGGGCGACAGAGGAGGGATCACTTGATAATTCCCTGTTCTGTTCACTCCCTCTGGGGCACCTGGCATTGGCCGTTGTGGGCAGACAGGACACTGGGCTAGACGTTTGTCTGGCCCAGTCTGGCTGCTCTTATGATCTAATGCAGCCCTCTGCTTTTCCAGTCAAAGGTTTTATTCTTCCACACTTTTTTGTTTTGTTTTGAATAACCGAGACCATCTCAGCAGCTATCCCCTGCTGGTGGTCAGCTGCTGGGCCACTCCAGTTGCAAAACAGATCAAAACACTGGAGCGTGAGACTTCTGATGACCCAGACTCTCGCAGTGCGGTGATCCCATGACACTGACTCTAGTCCCTTACGACAGTCCCTGTGTGGTCGGGATGAATTATCCCACTGGCACGGAGACAGAGAGATTAAATGATCTGCCCCAGGTCACACACTGTGGCAGAACCGGGAATTGTACCTAGATGGTTTGAGTCTTTGTCCAGGAGCGACCCCACGGTGCGGCAGAGATCGTACCCCATACCAGCTGCCCCGCTGGAAGCTGGTGAATGCTCAGACAGGCCTCCAGAACCCACGTCTGGTTCATTCAGGTCTTGTCAAGATTCACCCTCCAACTCGCGCAGGCTCAGAGCCGCGTCCGAGTCCCTGGAGCGGAACGTGAACCCGGAAGCCTCTTTCGCCTCACCTGCTTCAGGGCCTGCTCCAGCCGGGTCTGTTTGGACACGGAGAGCTTGCACACCGTGTCCCAGCGATTGCTCAGCTCCTGGAGCTGCACCTTCACCCAGGTCGTGTCGTCCCGGCTGTTCTCGATGAGCTCCCGGCCCGAGCGCTTGAGCACCTGCACCGTGCCCGTGCGCTTCCCCAGCTCCTTCTGGAAAACCTGCCCAGGGAGCAGAGCCAGGTCAGCCACGGCGCTTCACGCGGAGCATTGTGTTCGGTGGTCGGCAGACACGGCGCCCCCTCGGGCTGCCGTGAGGGGTATGGGAAGCTGAACGGCGGGTTGTTTGGCATTCAAGGCTTCAAGTTTGGCATTTTCCCGCTATGACAATTTATTTTCCTTCACACAGAATTGGCTACACATGGATTGCACAGGCCGCTGTGACCCGCCGGCCCACGTAAAGGAGCGAGCTACTCACACT